CCAGCTACTCAGGAGGCTGAGGCAGGAGAATTGCCTGAACCCAGGAGGCGGAGGTTGCGGTGAGCCGAGATCGCGCCATTGCACTCCAGCCTGGGTAACATGAGTGAAACTCCGTCTCAAAAAAAATAAATAAATAAAAATAAAAATAATAAAAATTAGTAAATAAAAGTTCAATATTCTTCCTTTAAGTGGATCAGAACTAGGTAGATCAATTTACTCAATTTTTGTATTTGTTTACTAAACAACGTCTGCATTAAATGGTGAAAGGATAGGAACTGTTTATATGATTTCCAGTTATATATAATTTACCACACCAAAGTACAGTAGTAACTTTTTTTTATCGCTCTGTCACCCAAGCTGGAGTGCAACGGTGCAATCTCAGCTTACTGCAGCCTCCACCTCCTGGGTTCAACCGATTCTCCTGCCTCAGCCTCTCAAGTAGCTGGGATTACAGGCATCCGCCACCACGCCCGGCTAATGTTTATATTTTTAGTAACGACAGGGTTTCACCATGTTGGCCAAGCTGGTCTCAAACTCCTGACATCAGGTCATCCACTCGCCTCAGCCTCCCAAAGTGCTGGGATTATAGGCATGAGCCACCGTGGCTAGCCATATAGTAGCAACTTTCTAAACTGACTTCTATTTAACCAATTTATGAGAGTAAGTGGTACTCTCCATTCCCTCAGCAAAATATACTCAATAATACTCATGAATAAACAGAACTCTTGAAGCTACTAGGCTACACTCTTTAAGAAACTCTCACATTATGGCACTCTTTCTACATTTGCGTGTATGCCCAACAAGGATCAATTATGTTCTCTAACTTATTTATACCAGTTGTATTAGGTACTGCCATTATATAATCTAGTTAAATATTACACAAGCCAAAGAAATATAAATACATAACATAAAAGATGTGCTACGGTCTGAATGTTGTGTTCCTCCCAAATTCATATGTTGAAATCCTAATCCCTAAGGCGATGGCATTATGAATGTGGGACCTTTCAGAGGTAATTCGGTCATCTTATGAACGGGATTAGTACTCTTATAAGAGATCTCAGAGATCTAGCTAGCCCATGTCCATCATGTGAGGACAAAACTAGAAGGTGCCATCTATCAACCAGAAAGTAAGCCCTCACTAGACAACTTTGATCTTGAACTTCCCAGATTCCAGACCTGTGAGAAATAAATTGTTTACAGGTCACCCAATCTATAGTATTTTGCTGTAGCAGGCCAAAAGAAGTAAGACACAATGTTTGTAGCAAAATTAGGTTGAATGTTTTAGAAAGACTCAAGTGAAAAAAAAAAATGTCAGAGGCAGACAAGATGAATAAAGACTGATAAAACAAATCTAGCATACTACAAATTACTTCCTAAATGTCTAAACCGTAAGATATTCTCAAAAAAATTTGACACTGAAATTTTTAGACCATGCATCATAGGTGTGCTTTGTGGAAAAGGGATGATACAGAATTCCATGGAAGAACTCATACCCAAAGACAAGACTAAAATCAAAAATTACCAAATTCACATGAAATATTTTTAAGTTTGAAAAAAATGTTGGCCGGGCGCGGTGGCTCAAGCCTGTAATCCCAGCACTTTGGGAGGCCGAGGCGGGTGGATCGCGAGGTCAAGAGATCAAGACCATCCTGGTCAACATGGTGAAACCCCGTCTCTACTAAAACTACAAAAAAAATTAGCTGGGCATGGTGGCGCGTGCCTGTAGTCCCAGCTACTCAGGAGGCTGAAGCAGGAGAATTGCCTGAACCCAGGAGGCGGAGGTTGCGGTGAGCCCAAATCGCGCCATTGCACTCCAGCCTGGGTAACAAGAGCGAAACTCCGTACCAAAAAAAAAAAAAAACAAAAAATGTTTACAGCTGGACATGGTGGCTCATGCCTGTAATCCCAGGACTTTTCGAGGCCAAGGTAGGTGATTGCTTGAGCCCAGGAGTTCAAGATGAGCCTGGGCAACATGGTGAAACTCTGTCTCTACAAAAAAATACAAAAAAAAGCAAATTAGCCAGGTGTGGTGGTGAGCACCTATAGTCCCAGCTCCTCAGGAAGCTGAGGTGGGAGGATCACTTGGGCCTAGGTTGTCAAGGCTGCAGTGAGCCAAGATTGTGCCACTGCACTCCAGCCTGGGGGATGGAGCAAGACTCTATCTCAAAAACAAACAAAAAACCTTTTTACAGTATGTAGCATTTATGATTACCTACAGTGACTCATTCATTCATTCATTTATTTCTGAGACAATCTCGCTCTGTCGCCCAGGCTGGAGTGCAGTGGGGCAATCTCGGTTCACTACAACCTTGGTCTCCTGAGTTCACGCAATTCTCCGGCCTCAGCCTACTGAATAGCTAGGACTACAGGCACGCACTACCACACCCAGCTCATTGGTGACTCACTTTTTCAACTACTAGCCAGATCAGTGGGACTAATTTTTCCATCAAAGAAAAATTTAGGCACACCTGAGAGGTAATAGAGTATTAAGCAAAAATTAGCCAGGTGTGGTGGTACATGCCTGTAGTCCCTGCTACTTGGGAGGCTAAGATGAAAGACTGGCTTAAGCCTAGGAGGCAAAGATTTCAGTGAGCCAAGATCATACCACTGCATTCCAGCCTGGGCAACACAGCCAGATGATGTCTCACAAAATATATATATAGTATTGGCTGGGCGTGGTGACTCACACTTGTAATCCCAGCACTTTGGGAGGCAGAGGCAGGTTGATTACTGGAGGTCAGGAGTTCATGACCAGCCTGGACAACATCGTGAAACCCCATCTCTTCTAAAAATACAGAATTAGCTGGGTGTGGTGGCGTGCACCTGTAATCCCACCTACTCAGGAGGCTGATGCAGGAGAATCGCTTGAACCCGGGAGGCGAAGATTGCAGTGAGCCAAGATTGCGCCATTGCACTCCAGCCTGGGCAACAAGAGCAGAACTCATTTTAAAAAAAAAAAAAATGTGCAGAGGACATATAGGAAAAATGAAAATAAATTTAAAAAATAAAAAAAATTTAAAAAAAGATCCCAGTATGTCCAGGTTTTTCCTATTCAAATATATAGATCTGCAGATGAAAACCAAAAACACAGCACTTCCCACGAGTGTCAGTTCTACTAAAATAAGTATTTCCTCTATTTAAGACATATCTAATCAGCATTAAATTTCTAACTTCACAAAAGCCTTAACATGTTTAGCTTGGAGGCACACGACTTTAATCAGCTTCCAACAAAGGGTTTTTCAACTTTGGCACTGACATTTTAAGCTAGATAATTCTTGGGGAGGGAGAAGATGGACATGCAGGCTGTCCTATTCATTGTTGGGATGTTTTAGCAACATCTATACCCACTAGATGCCAGTAGAACCCCATCTAGCCGGGCACAGGGGCTCACGCCTATAATCCCAGCACTTTAGGAGGCTGAGGCAGGTGGATCACAAGGTCAGGAGTTCAAGAACCCCACCTTATTCCAGTTGTGACAACCAAAATGTGTCCAGACATCAACAAATGTTCTCTGGGAAAATGGGGATGGGGAAGGACAATCACTCCCATTTGAGAACCACTATTCTAATGAAATGTTTTTCCTGGTTCTCTTCAGACAATTTCTCTATTTTCTGAGCTAGTGAGCTATCTCAATTTCTTCACAGGGGACAATGGGAATAGACTCCAAAAAGGACTGGCTGCTTTTTATTGCAAAAAGAAGCAATGAAATTCAGCAACACATTGGTAGAACAGGATTTGAATTCCCATTCAAAAAAACTTACCAGCAGTGTTGTCTTGAGCATGTCACTTAACCTCTCCAAGTCTGTTTCCTCATCTGCAAAATGGGAATAATAATATCTACTTTGCAGAGCTGCTATATCAGAGATAATTTAAGTAAAACTGTACTATGTCTGACACTTAGTAGGAATGCAATAAATTATAGCTATTGCTATTACTATAAATGTTGATGGCATTAGAGGATATTGTATCCCCTTTGCAATGCTTTTATTGGTACTCCAACATTATCGTACATTAGAATCACCTGTGATATTTCTTAAGCTATTGAAGATGCCCAGATCCCACCCTCAGAAAGGTCCAGAAACAATACTGAGACAAACTGGCTAAATTTTTTACATCAGACTTGACTGCTGTATTTTCTCTCTGTTGTAAAACTCTGTAGCATTTGAAGACAGACGAAAAAGAGAAATTCATAAAACAATTCAATCATGTAAAATGTTTGTCATACAGAACAAAAACTACTTTAAAATAATGGTGTTTTGACAGTTTATTTTGAAGGTCATTTTAAAAACAAAGACAATCTGAGAAAAAATTGCACAGGATACACTCATTAAATAAGTATGGTTTATGATGATTAAATCAAAATAAGGGAAATATGTTCTCTTCTGCAATTCAAGAAATAAGTTCTGTTGTCCTGAAGGTTCTTATACATCCAAAAAGGGGATATAATCATGGCAATTAAAGCTGCCTCTTAATCATGTAAATCTACAGTAGCAACTAAATTTTTCTGTTCTTCCCATTAAGTCAGTTTCGATCTTCAAACTGTGCCTTGTTTTTTAAAAGATAAGATGCTAGAAATTCAATGGGATTTGGTGGTCTGTAAGGGAAAAGAAATCCAAAGTTTAGAAATGTATTTCCTAGATGTGTTAATTTAAACATATTGTTCCATAATGAAAACGTATCTTTTTAAGTTTAATTTTCATTTCACAGTCAAAGGACATTTGTAGTAATAAAATAAATAAGATAAGCAAGCAAATTAATTAGCCAACAAAATAGTTAAAGAGACTGAAATTTTTGTATGGCTTAAATCTGGTTATGAACTCCATTTTAAAACACAAATTTAAAAAATGATTGACAATGGGATGATCATTACCCCAAAGAGAATAATGACTTAAAGGGGTCACATGGATGGCTTCTGAGGTGCTGGCAGTATTCAGTTTCTTGATCTGAGTGCAAGCTACACAGGTTTCATCATGTTGCCCAGGCTGATTTTGAACTCTTGGGCTCAAGTGATCTGCTCGCCTTGGCCTTCCAAAGTGTGAGGATTACAGGCATGAGCCACCATGCCCAGCCTAAATTAAGTTTTTTTTTTTTCCCCCAAGATGGAGTCTTGTTCTGTTTCACAGGCTGGAGTGCAGTGCTGCAATCTTGGCTCACTGTAAACTCCACCTCCCAGGTTCAAGCAAATTCTGCCTCAGCCTCCCGAGTAGCTGAGATTACAGGCATGCGCCACCATGCCCAGCTAAGTTTTGTATTTTTAGTAGAGACAGGGTTTCACCATGTTGGCCAGGAGGGTCTCAAAACTCCTGATCTCGTGATCCACCTGCCTCGGCCTCCTAAAGTGCTGGGATTACAGGCATGAGCCAACGCACTCAGAGTCCTGGTAAAATAATTCATCATGTGAACCCTAAATATTACATGAAAAATACTATTTGTAGACAGCTTTTAGTGCTGTTTAGAGTGCTCTGGGAATGTTTTGATATCCTTGTAAACACATTTTCAATATGCCTTTTCAGAGTAGAGTTTAAAATAGATGTCTCCTAGCAGTGAACTGCTCAAAAATATAATAAAAATAAAATAGATGTTTCCCCAATTTTTCATCTTTGGATTTTTTTCCTAGTAAGAATAATTTAGATACAGGTGTTAATATGAAATAACTCTGCTTAGTTTTATAAATGTGTTTATCTTCTTAGGTGCACTGTAGTTATATTAAATAGTACTAGAATTATTGATTTAAATTATCTGAAGAAAGGAGTAGCTTTTAGAAAAGAAACATAACAACCAACTTATCTGTGTTAGTGTTGCTTCTTTGACTAGTCACTTGAGTTCATCTACATGTCTTGGTGATGCTACATCCATTGTCCTATATAATTTTTGTTCTTTTACTGAAGGGTAATACACAGAATATTACACATATCATAGGTATACAGCTTGATGAATTTTCACAAACTAAATATATTACGAGCGCATGCCTGTAATCCCAGCTACTCGGGAGGTTGAGGCAGAATTTGCTTGAACCTGGGAGGTGGAGGTTACCGTGAGCCAAGATTGCACCCTGCACACCAGCCTGCGCAACAGAACAAGACTCCAACTTAGTGAAAAAAAAAACTTCTTTGGGCCGGGCTGGGTGGCTCCTGTCCGTAATCCTCACACTTTGGAAGGCCAAGGCCGGCAGATCGCTTGAGCCCAATAGTTCAAAATCAACCTGGGCAACGTGATGAAACCCCATCTCCACAGAAAATGAAAAAAATTACCCAGGCATGGTGGCACATGCCTACAGTTACAGCTACTCAGGAGGGTTAGGTGGGAAGATCACTTTAGTTCAAGGCTACAGTAAGCCATGATTGCCTCACTGTATTCCAGCTGGGGCAACATAACAAGACTCTACGTCAAAAAAAAAAAAAAATTTTTTTTTCTTTACAAAAAATGTATTTACTGGCCAAGGGCAGTGGCTCATGCCTGTAATCCCAGCACTTTGGGAGTCCGAGTGGGGAGGATCACTTCTAAGCCTGAGCAACATAGTAAGATCCCCAACTCTACTAAAAGTTTAAAAATTAGTCTGGCATAATGGCACACGCCTGTAGTCCCACCTACTCAGGAGGCTTAGGCGAAAGAATTGCTTAAGCCCGGGAGGCCTAGGCTACAGTGAGTGGTGATCTCGCTACTGCACTCTAGCCTGAATGACAGAACGAGACCCTGTCTCAAAAAAATTAACAATAAAAAAAAAAATTAAAGGCCGGGCGCGGTGGCTCACGCCTGTAATCCCAGCACTTTGGGAGGCCGAGGCGGGTGGATCATGAGATCAAGAGATCGAGACCATCCTGGTCAACATGGTGAAACCCCGTCTCTACTAAAAATACAAAAAATTAGCTGGGCATGGTGGCATGTGCCTGTAATCCCAGCTACTCAGGAGGCTGATGCAGGAGAATTGCCTGAACCCAGGAGGCGGAGGTTGTGGTGAGCCGAGATCGCGCCATTGCACTACAGCCTGGGTAACAAGAGCAAAACTCCGTCTCAAAAAAAAAAAAGAAAAATTAATGAATTTCCTAAGAGCTTGAACTTAATTTTTTTTTTTTCAAATGATTTTCTAGCATGTAAAGTAATATTTAGAGCTCAGGTGCAGTAGCTCACATCTGTAATCCTAGCATTTTTGGGGCCGAGGCAGGCAGAACACCTGAAGTCAGGAGTTCCAGACCCACCTGACCAACATGGTAAAACCATGTCTCTACTAAAAATACAAAAATTAGCCAAGTGTGGTGGCAGACACCTGTAGTTCCAGCTAGTGGGAAGGCTGAGGCAGGAGAACTGCTGAACCAGGAGGCAGAGGTTGCAGTGAGCCAAGATTGCGCCACTGCACTCCAGCCTGGGTAAAGAGCAAGACTCTGTCTCAAAAAATAAATAAATAAAGCAATATTTCAATTTTTTTTTTTTTTTTGAGACAGAGTCTTAGCTCTGTGGCCAGGCTGGAGTGCCAAGGCACAACTCGGCTCACTGCAACCTCCGCCTCCCAGGTTCAAGTGATTCCCCTGCCTCAGCCTCCCGAGTAACTGGGACTACAAGCATGCGTCACCATGCCCAGCTAGTTTTTGTATTTTTAGTAGAGATGGGGTTTCACCACTTTAGCCAGGATGGTCTCAATCTCCTGACCTTGTGATCCACCCGCCCTCGCCTCCCAAAGTGCTGGGATTACAGGCATGAGCCACTGAGCCTGGCCTCAAATTTCTAATATATTAGTCTTCCCTAGAGGAAAAACAAAAAAATTGAAAAGATGCCCATATTTTCCCCCCCCCCTTTTTTTTTTTTTAAGACTAGTCAAGTGCAGTAGTGAGAAGGGGGAAAAGGGTAGAAAAACGGAATAAGGGCCAGGAGCAGTGGCTCACACGTAAAATCCCAGCACTTTGGGAGGCCCACAAGGGCAGATCACCTGAGGTCAGGAGTTAAGAGTTCAGCCTGGCCAACATGATGAAACCTTGTCTCTACTGACAATACAACAATTAGCCATGAGTGGTGGCATGCACCTGTAGTCCCAGCTATTCAGGAGGCTGAGGCAGGAGAATCACTTGAACCGGGGAGGTGGACACTGCAGTGATCTGAGATTGTGCCACTGCACTCTAGCCTGGGCAACAGGGTAAGACTCTGAATCAAAAAAAAAACCACCAAAAACCAGGCCACGTGCAATGGATCACCTTGAGGTCAGGAGTGCAAGACCAGCCTGGCCAATATGGTGAAACCCCATCTCTACTAAAAATGCAAATATGACATGGGTGTGCTGGCAGGCATCTGTAAGCCCAGTTACTCACAAGGCTGAGGCAAAAGAACTGCTTGAACCCAGGAGGTGGAGGTTGCAGTGACCCAAGATCGTGCCACTGCACTCCAGCCCTAGGTGACAAAAACAAAACTCTATCTCAAAAAAAAAAGAAGAAAAGAATAAGGAGCTTAATCTGTAAGACTATCAATAGTCAACTGAGTTAACTTACTACCTTCAGACCATCAAGATCCCCATATTTTAATTGTTGGTAGTAGCTGCTAATTTACAAATATAACCATCAAAAACAAACATTTATTGCTCATTCATATAATTTTTATATAAACAAATGTATCAATTCTAAGTTAATAATTCATCTTTACTATAAGAAAAGACATATTTCCTTTTTTTTTTTTTCCTTGAGGTAGGGTCTCACTCTGTCACCTAGGCTGAAGTGCAGTGGTGCAATAATGGCTAACTGCAGCCTTGAACTCCTGGGCCCAAGCCCAGGTGATCCTCCCTCCTTGGCCTGTCAAGCAGTTTGGGCTAAGGCATACACCACCACACCAGACTGAGATAAGACATAGTTCCATCAAGTTCTTAATCAAGTTATATCAATTTGCTATTACAATGTTTATTATTACTCTTTGAATAAAATAGAATATGCACCTAACAAATGTTGACTAACTTCCAAAACAAATTTTCTTATTACATTGGCTTACACAAAAAAAAATTTAGTTGAGAATTACTAGAGAAAACATGTTAAAAAAAGATAAATAGCAGCCGAGCACGGTGGCTCACATCTGTAATCCCAGCTCTTTGAGAGGCCAAGGCGGGCGGATCACGAAGTCAGGAGTTCAAGACCAGACTGACCAATGGTGAAACCCCACCTCTACTTAAAAAACCCTGTCTCTACTTAAAAAATACAAAAATTAGCTGGGCATGGTGGCTCGTGCCAGTAATCCCAGCTACTTGGGAGGCTGAGGTAGAAGAATTGCTTGAACCAGACCCAGGAGGCGGAGGTTGCAGTGAGATAAGATCGCGCCACTGCACTCCAGCCTGGGCTACAGAGTGAGACTCCATCTCAAAAAAAAAATATATATATATATAAATAATTGTACCCTTGCTATTAAGAAAATTTAAGGCTGGGCGTTGTGGCTCATGCCTGTAATCTCAGCACTTGGGAGGCCAACGCAGGGGGATCACAAGGTAAAGAGATCAAGACCATCCTGGCCAACATGGTGAAACCCTGTCTCTACCAAAAATACAAAAATTAGCTGGGCATGGTATCGCATGCCTGTAGTCCCAGCTACTCAGATGGCTGAGGCGGCAGAATTGCTTGAACCTGGGAGGCAGAGGTTGCAATGAGCCAAGATCGCACCATTGCACTCCAGCCAGGGGACAGAGCAAGATTCTGTCTAAAAACAAAAAAAAAGAAAATGTAAATTAAAACAACTGGCAAATGTTTATTAACACTTATGTATGAGGCCATGGTAACACTACAAGAATTTTAAGGACAAACTTTTGAAAACAAATATGATATGCCAAACATCAGAGAAAGCATCATGACCTTTGAACTGGTATACCAACTCTTGGGAAATTATCATTTAAAAAGTAACTAAACAAAAGCAAAAGATATATGAAAATAGATAAACTGCCTGGGTGACCAATTAACAAAGGAAATTCTACCTAAATGTTCAACAGTGGGAAAATGGCTACATTAAATGTGGTATTACAACTTAAATTATAGGCTGGGTGCAGTGGTTAACACCTGTAATCCCAGCACTTTGGGAGGCTGACGCTGGTGGATCACTTGAGGTGAGGAGTTCAAGACAAGCCTGGCCATCAAGGCAAAACCCTGTCTCTACTTAAAAATACAATAATTAGCTAGGCATGGTAGCAGGTACCTTTAATCCCAGTTACTCGGGAGACTGAGGCAGGAGAAACACTTGAACCCGGTGAGGCAGAGGTTGCAGTAAGCAGAGATTGCACCACTGTACTCCAGCCAGGGACATAGACCAAGACTCTGTCTCAAAAAATAATAATAATAGGCTGGGCGCAGTGGCTCATACCTAAAATCCCAGCACTTTGGGAGGCCAAGGCAGGCAGATCACTTGAAGTCAGGAATTCAAGACCAGCCTGGCCAACGTGGTGAAACCCCATGTTTACCAAAAATACAAAAATTAGGCAGTCATGGTGGCACATGCCTGTAGTCCCAGCTACCCGGGAGGCTGAGACACGAGAATCACTTGAACCCAGGAGGCAGAGGTGGCAGTGAGCAGAGATCACACCATTATACTCCAGCCTGGGCAACAGAGTGAGACTCCATCTCAAAATAACAATAATAATAATAATAATTTAAATTATAATCATGAAGACTATAGAGAGATACAGAAAAAAGTTATGTCATAATAAGTAAAAAGATTTAAAATTAATGTATATCATGATTACAAATCTTTACAAATATGCGTATGATCTAAGACTGATGGGAAAGAATTTAAATGTCTGAATTATGAGATTATGGCTGAGCACGTTCTTAAAAACTTTAATATCCATAAATCACACGGTAAAAAGTTGCTATACATAACTAATGATATTTCAGTTAGGGGAATCTATTTTGCTTTCTCTACTAACTCCATTTGTGGTCACAATTATCTTACCTTTCTTTTGCAAGCACAGCAAGTCCCTGTAATAAGATAGGCACAACTGTTTGATCCAGGTAGGCACGAGTTGGCAAAGATTGGAGATCTACCTTCTGCTTTGATGACTTTTCTGCGTTAATCTTCTCATTTTCTACTATCCTCTAGTGAATTCAAAAAAACAGTACATGAACATTTCAAATAACCAGGTTATTTTGAGTGCTAAACAAAATTATTGGAAATATGACACTAATGGAAAAGGCAAATCAATAACTAGAAAGCTGGTACTAGACCACAAACTTCTCCGCCCAAAATAAATTCAGACCCATCTTTCAAACTCATTCAAGCTTTTTCTCTCCAGAAGCACCATAACATCTCATTCTTCTAATGTCATGTCTCAAGATCCTACTCTTTTTCCCTTTCATTCTGCCTTTGTAGGAGTAAATACAAATGCGTTTCTTTTTTTTCATGTGAGTATCTTCTCAGAGTATGTTCCCAAAAAAACTGGACACAACACCAAACAGCACCAAATCACAGCAAGAAAGCTGGTCACAGCAGAGAGAGCAAGCTTCAGGGTATAACGCTTACATGCTCAAGAGAATCTAGCTAAAATTTATTACCATTGTCTTGTATTCACTGTTGTTATTTTTATGGTTACCACCTATTTATCATAATGAGAATACTTTCCCCTTCATGTTTCTTTTTTAAAGAAATACATTCAGCTTGGGCAACAAGGCAAAATCCAGTCTCTACAAAAATTAGCCAGGCACACTGTGCCTGTAGTCCCAGCTACTCAGAAGGCTGAGATGGGAGGATCACTTGAGCCCAGGAGGCAGAGATTGCAGTGAGATGATATAATGCCACTGCACTCCAACCTGGCCCACAAAGCAAGGCCCTGTCTCTAAATCAATCAATCAATCAATCAATGATTTTTAAAAATGAACAGACTTAAGAAAATACATTATGTAAATACCCCCAAAATGAAGAAAAGTATTAATACAGAAAAAAATCACTAATGTCATATTTAAATGAATGGTTTTCCCCACTCCAGCAGTTAATGTCAAAAAGCAATAATTAATTTTAATTAAAAATAAATGAAGCTGGCCAGGCTCAGTGGCTCACACCTGTAATCCCAGCACTTTGGGAGGCCTAGGTGGGCAGATCACGAGGTCAGGAGATCGAGACCATCCTGCCTAATACAGTGTGAAACCCTGTCTCTTCTAAAAATACAAAAAAATTAGCCAAGCATGGTGGCACACGCCTGTAGTCCTAGCTACTCGGAGGCTGAGACAGGAGAATTGCTTGAACCCAGGAGGCGGAGGTTGCAGTGAGCCGAGATCACGCCACTGCATTCCAGCCTGGGCAACAGAGCAAGGCTCCATCTCAAAAAAATAGATAAATAAAAATTAAAATAAATGCAATTTTAAAAGTAACAAGTTATATTTTCTTCTTTACAACCCCCTAAATTTTGGAGCTATCAAATAGATTCAGCTGACATTTAGAGAATTAAAAACTAACTTATTGCCTCCAACAGACTTAAAATTTTGTGTTTTTTTGAGTTTCGTTCTTGTTGCCCAGGCTGGAGTGCAATGGCACAATCTCAGCTCACAGCAACCTCTGCCTCCTGGATTCAAACAATTCTCCTGTCTTAGCCTCCCAAGTAGCTGGGATTACAGGCATGAGCCACCACGTCCAGCTAATATTTTGTATTTTTAGTGGAGACAGTTTCTCCATGTTGGTCGGGCTGGTCTCGAACTCCCGACCTCAGGTGATCCACCTGACTCAGCCTCCCAAAGTGCTGAGATTACAGGTGTGAGCCACCGAGCCCAGCCTTTTCTTAAACTAACGTATTTTAAAATGTTGCATCTGGGCACAGTTGCTCATGCCTGTAATCCCAGAACTCTGGGAGGCCATGGCAGGTGGACCACTTGAGGCCAGGAGTTGAGACCAGCCTGGCCAACATGGTGAAATCCCATCTCTATTAAAAATTTAAAAACTGGCACAAAATTAGTCATTAAAAAAAAAAGAAATTAAAAACTAGATGGGCATGGTGGCACATGCCTGTAGTCCCAGCTACTTGGGAAGGTAAAGCACAAGAATCCCTTGAACCCGGGAGGCAGAAGTTGCAGTGAGCCTGGGTAACACAGCAAGATTCTGTCTCAAAAAGAAAAAAAAAATTGCTTTTTTTGAAAATCTAACACTTCAGATGTTTAAAATGGGGGTTGGGTGTGGTGGCTCATGTATTCGCAGCACCTTTGGGAGACTGAAGCAGGTTGATTGGTTGAGTCCAGGAGTTCAGGACCAGCCTGACCAGCATGGTAAAATCCCATCTTTCCCATCTCTACTAAAAATACAAAATTAGCTGGGCATGGTGGCACATGACTGTAAGCCCAGCTACTTGGGAGGCTGAGACAGAATGGCTGAACCCAGGAGGTGGAGGGTGCAGGGAGCCAAGATTGAGACACTGTACTCCAGCCTGGGTGACAGAGCAAGACTCTGTCTCAAAAAAAAACAAAAAAAAAAAGAAAGAGACAAAAAAAATAATAAGCGGCTCTAAAAGGACAAAACAGTATTCCTAAGAGCACTTTCATTTAAATGAACTTTTGCTTCAACATACTCAAGCTAGATATAAAAGAGCTGACAAAAATTTTTCTACTTTTAATTGTATCTTGGTAAAAATAAGAAAAAAAATCTTTAATCATATCTGTAACATAAATAGCATGGTTTCCAAAGACACTTCCCATAACTATGTCAGACAACTTTTGTATTTCTGCTTATGGTTTTCCAATCTAATTATAGAATTTAATTAAAAGATAATTTTCTATTAAATACAAAGTTTATTTAATCTATAAAATTCTATTTATTTGTCCATAGACCGAAAAATTTATTTTTCGTTAGTAAATTTTAACAGATAATACCTTTGGCACACCATCACTTCAGAAACTCTTACTGAGCCTTTGTAAAATTCAGCTTTTCATTGCAGAAAAGACTATACAACTTCATTGTTTCTGAAAACTGACACCATCTTAAATGAATTCTCCTCCCCTAAATCAAAATCCACTATGTTCAAAACTTCTCATTGATCACAACAAAGACAATGCAGCAAACTTCAAAATCTCACAGTGTATTAATAGTCCTAACTTCCAGGCACAGTATATGTACACAACAAAAACTATTCAGGGCCAGGCGCAGTGGCTCAAATCTGTAATCTCAGTACTTTGGGAAGCTGAGACAGGAGGACTGCTTGAACGCAAGAGTTTGAAACCAGCTTGAGCAACATAGTGAGACCCTGTTACTATATTTTTTAAATAATTTTAAGAAAATTTAACTTGTCAGTTACATGACATTACAATGCCTCCAATAAGAAAGAGCAATACCTAAGCAACTCCTATAAATTCTGTAATAAATTCCTTAACCAAATCTTCCCATTTATTTCATCTGAACATTTACTAGTTATCCATTATGTGTCAACTGTGATGCTCAATTTCACTTAAGTCAAAATCTTAAACTAATCTAAAAATAGCTATATCCAAACTACCACAACAAAAAAATGAGCTCATAAGACAGTGTAGAACAGTGATCACAAAAAGGTGAAAAATGAGGTGAGCACTATGACTGTCCCTGCTTATCGCTTTCTGCCTGGAGAGCTTAAAGAATGCAGTGTAGGGAGAGAGAACTTGAACAGACCCTAGTAGTCTCCCTGAGTTGAGAAGACAGAGCTGAAAATTCTGGGAGACCAAAACAACTAAAATTTGCAAGGCAGAGCACTGAAGGGAAAAAAGTGCATGGAGCCAAGAACTGCACAGAAAGAGACTAAGGATATTGCCTTCCAGTCTTCAGGTGAGTACTTATCAATAGATGAATGTAAGTCAACCACCCAAGGCCAGGGAAACAACTGTCTTGTGTTAGTCTGTTTGCATTGCTATAAAGAAATACTTGAGGGTGGGTAATTTACAAAGAAAAGAGGTTTATCTGGCCACAATTCTGCAAGCTACACAAGCAGGGCACCAGCATCTGCTACTGATGAGTGCTTCAGGGAGCCGCCAATCCTGACAGAGAGGGACTGATGTGTCACATAACAAGAGAGGGAGCAAGAAAGGAGTAGGTGCCAGACTCTTTTTAACAATCAGATCTCATGGTAACTAATAGAATAAGAACTCACTCTTACCAAAAGATGGTACCATGCCATTCATGAGGGATCTACCCCCACGACCCAAACATCTCCCACTATCCCCCACCTCCAACATTGGGGGGTCACATTTCAACATGAGATTTGGAAGGGACAAATATCCAAACTATATTACACCACAAGGAACAATCCTTGCAGCTCACACAGGCTGGAAATCGTTTGTGTTCCAGTGAGGCAGGGTGAGAAAATCTCATAATACACCAGCATATTGGCTGATGCGGAGGTTGCAGTGAACTGAGATCATACCACTGCACTCCAGCCTGAGTGACAGAGCAAGACTTTTGTCTCCAAAAAAAAAAAAAAAAAAATCTCATAATACATGGAGTATTGAGTAGAATACTCAATAAAAGGAAATTAAGCCTAAAGTAAACCTGGTCTGTTCTCACCTAACAAAGCTTAAATGCAAGCCACTAAAGTATCAAACTGTTTCTAAGTAACTGTGTCCCAGAACAAATTAAAAAATGTTTTTGTTTTGTTTTTTAAAGGCGGGATGTCACCATGTTTGCCAGGCTGGTCTCAAACTCCTGGCCTCAGGCAGTCTGCCCACCTCAGCCTCCCAAAGTACTAGGATTCCAGGTATGAGCCACTGCACCCAGCCAAGAATGTTTAAAAAAACAAAAAACAAAATTGCCAGGTGTGGTGACTCAAGCCTGTAATCCCAGCACTTTGAGAGGCCAAGGCGGGTGGATTACCTGAGGTTAGGAGTTCAAGAACAGCCTGGCCAACATGGTGAAATCCTGTCTCTACTAAAAATACAAAAATTAACAGGCCGGGCGCGGTGGCTCAAGCCTGTAATCCCAGCACTTTGGGAGGCCGAGGCGGGTGGATCACGAGGTCAAGAGATCAAGACCATCCTGGTCAACATGGTGAAACCCCGTCTCTACTAAAAATACAAAAATTAGCTGGGCATGGTGGCGCGTGCCTGTAATCCCAGCTACTCAGGAGGCTGAGGCAGGAGAATTGCCTGAACCCAGGAGACGGAAGTTGCGGTGAGCCGAGATCGCGCCATTGCACTCCAGCCTGGGTAACATTGAGTGAAACACCGTCTAAAAAAAAAAAAAATACAAAAATTAGCCAGGCATGGTGGCGGGCACCTGTAATCCCAGCTATTCGGCAGGCTGAGGCAGGAGAATCACTTGAACCCGGGACACAGTGGTTGCAGTGAGCCAAAATTGTGCCACTGCACTCCACCCTGGGCAACAAGAGCGAAACTGTCTCAAAACAAAATAAAAATACAAAATTGTCCAGAGCTCTAAAAAGTAAAGTTCACAATGTTCAGCATACAATCAGAAATTACCAAGCAGGCAAATAAGCAGGAAAAAAATATCTACAATGAAGGCAAAAAGGAATCCACAGAAATAGACCCAGAAATTATACAAATGACAAAATGGGCAGGGTCATTAAAACATTTATAATAGGGCCAGGCGCGGTGGCTCACGCCTGTAAACCCAGCACTTTAGGAGGCCGAGGCGGGCGAATCACGAGGTCAGAAGTTCAAGACCAGCCTGACCAATGAGGTAAAACGCCGTCTCTACTAAAAATACAAAAAATTAGCCAGGCATGGTGGCATGTGCCTGTAATCCCAGCTACTCGGGAGGCTGAGGCAGAAGAATGGCCTGAATCTGGGAGGCGGAGGTTGCAGTGAGCCGAAATCGCGCCACTGCACTCCAGCCTGGTGACAGAGACTCCATCTCAAAAAAAAAGAAAGAAAGAAAGCCATCAAGCAATACGATTCAGACAGTATCCGTCAAGAATGTGTGTTTCATAATAAAAGTTCAATCCTTTGGCTCAAACCTAATTTGTACGTCCGTACACCACGCAGCATTAGTACTGTTACTAAAACAAGCGTGTCATAACTTGATACTATTCAGTTCAAGATAACAAAGTTTTCCCTTGTGCAAAGTAACCTAGTAAAAGCGGATCCCAAGTTTTCCCCAGCTCGCAAGAGACGCAGATGAGGCATAGGAACTGGGCGAGTTACCTCAACATTGTCTGTGAGACCGTACTCAGAGTGAGGATTTTCTGCAACCTAGAAAACAAAACACCAGTCACAGAGATATAAGCCCCCTTTTCTCGCTGCCTCCCTGCACACCGCCAACCCTGAATCCAGGGCCTCCTGATACCTGCGTTTGTCCCTCCAGCATCTGCTCTGGCTCCATGACGGACCCTGCAAGTCACAGTCCCCGGATACCAGTCTTGGAAAACAAGAAGAGCCGGGAGTTACCTGGGAGATTTCACCACGAAGACGCTAGGATGGAGTGCAGCCCAGCCCCCGACCCCGCCCCTCACCCCCACCTGGGCGCGGGAGCACCCCGAGCAATGGAGCAGCAGAGTGGTACAGTCCACAACTGGGCGCCTGCATCGGGTCTGGAAACTCTGCGACAGTTCCAAGTACCTATAATAAGTGAAAAGGGTGGGGGGAGGGAGCTGATTACCCGCGCCCAAGCCGTTCGTTCTTAAGAGCCCTGCACCGCGCCACCAACTCCCAGCGCGAACAGCTCCGGCCGTAAATGACGGCTGTCGCACGACTGCCGCGCCTGCGCAGAACCTCCCGGCGGACAAGAGGTTGGGAGACGTGCAGACGCATCCTGAGTCGGTCCCTGGGGTCTCTGCTGTCCCCGTGAGTCCTGCCAAAGGTCTGGCCTTGGAAGCTACGAGCAACATTCTTTCTTCATCCTACCCAACCACGAAGAGCGCCACCCCAGCTGCAGACCGAATGACCAGCCCAGTTGGAAGGGGCTCGGCCCCATCAAACCTCGATGCTGCCTCGAAGCATCTGCTGAAGCTTTTCCTCTACTAACTGAACTTCCTCACTGAGTGATTCTTACTAGAAAATTACAAGCACAGTCTGACAGGCTCTGAAAGAATGTCGGTGTTTTACTGTTAAGCCAAAAATGGGGAGAGAAGCAGTTTTGGGGTTTCCTAATTAGCTTTTATTCAAGCCCTTAAATCTGTGAATATGCGACGTTAATGCCAGCTTACGTTTGTATTAGATTAGCGTATGCAGCTGGCTTTCCAAACCGTGGTTCTATTGATAGTACTGTAGTTGTAAAACGTACATAGGATAATTTGCCTCCTACACGGTGGGAAAGTAGCAAAAAACATCCATTTACTTAGATTCTTAAGAATTCCAATAAATTCAATTTATTTTTATGTAAGCATAAATGATAACACGCAAACTTCCTTCCTTTGACACAATTCTATTTGTAATTGCACTTTGTAATATGAAAACGTGAAAACATTTGGAGTAAATTATGGCATAACAATATGGTGGAATACAAGTCATTACAATTAAAAATCATAACGACATATACAGAAATATAACATTGAAGGTTTTTTGTTTTGTGTTTTGTTTTGTTTTGTGACAGTCTCACTCTGTTGCCCAGGCTGGAGTGCAATGGAGCTGTCTCAGCTCAATGCAACCTCCACCTCCCGGGTTCAAGCGATTCTCTTGCCTCAGCTGCCCCAGTAGCTGAGATTACAGGCACCCGGCACCACACCCAGCTAATTTTTGTATTTTTAGTAGAGACAGGGTTTCACCATGTTGGTCAGGCTGGTCTCAAACTACTGACCTCAGGATCCACCCACCTCGGCCTCCCAAAGTGCTGGGATTACAGGCATGAGTCACCGTGCCCTGCCTAACATTGAGATTTTTTACTTCCAGCTGGCATTTTTAAGTAGACTACAACTTCATATTGCTACTCTAAAACACCATGAATAAAGATCTAAAGTAAATAAAATTTGGTTAGGAGCTAGACATGTAAGTCAGTTTTTCTTTTTTTATTTTCTTTTTTTTTTTTTTTTTAAGACAGGGTTTCACCATGTTGATCAGGCTGGTCTTGAACTCCTGACCTCAGGTGATCCGCCCACCTTGGCCTCCAAAGTGCTTGGATTACAGGTGTGAGCCGCTACAACCGGCCATAAGTCAGTTTTTAAAGTTTTGCAGTGTATACTTGATAAATAGTATTGTGATTGGTGACAGCTGTCATGGAACTTTGAAGATTTTTTCATGTAATGCTGATGCAAACGTGTATGCATATGTACAGGATATATAAATTGACTAGTAGATATATTAACTCAAATTAATATTAAATGCTTTTTGATAGTGGGAAATAAAAAGGAGTACATACAACTAGAGAATGGGAAATTTTTAGAATAGTTATGTGTATTGTCATGTTATCACATATTAATACATTTCCCAATACATAGTAGACTCTCACTAAATATTTCCAAACTCCAGGAAGTAACTGAGAGCTGCTAATTTAGCTTTTTTTTTTTTTTTTTTTTTTTACGGGATCTTTTTCTATTGTCCAGGCTAGAGTGCAGTGGCATGATCTTGGCTCTTGGCTCACAGCAACCTCTGCCTCCTGGGTTCAGGCAATTCTTCTGCCTCAGCCTCCCAAGTAGCTGGGACTACAGAAGTGCACCACCAAGCCCAGCTAATTTTTGTATTTTTAGTAGAGACAGGGTTTCACCATACTGTCCAGGCTGTCTCAAACTCCTGACCTTGTGATCCACCTACCTCCACCAAAGTGCTGGGATTATAGGCATAAACTACTGCATCCGGCCCTTTATATTTATTTAGTTTTTATTTATTTATTTATTTATTTTTGAGTTGGAGTCTCGCTCTATTGCCTAGGCTGGAGTGCAGTGGCATGATTTCCACTCACTGCAACCTCTGCCTCCTGCGTTCAAGTGATTCTCCTGCCTCAGCCTCCTGTGTAGCTGGGATCACAGGTGCGAGCCACCACACCCAGCTAATTTTTGTGTTTTTAGTAGAGATAGGGTTCACCATGTTGGTCAGGCTGGTCTCGAACTCCTGACCTCGTGATCCACCTTCCTCAGGCTCCCAAAGTGCTGGGATTACAGGTGTGAGCCACGGCGCCCAGCCACACGCCTGGTCCTTAATTTACATTTTCTAAGTACTGACAGTTTTAGTAAAGTAGTAAGTTAGAAGAGCTCCTTCAGGGCAGGGACCATGTCTTGGCTATCTTTAAACTTCACAAGATGCTTAATACATTGTAGGTGCAGAATATGTATTAAGTTGGGCTGGTTCATAGTTAAAATTTGATGTTAATATAGATACGGATACTTCTAAAGCAAAAAAAGAAAAGACATAAAAATGTTTACTGAAGGGAATTAGCTATCATCCAGGTTTCCATCAATCTAGGTAAAAGTTATTGATGCGATTTATCAAAAAGCTTCATTTTGCATTTAAAATTTACTAATTGATAGCAGGTTGTGGTGTGCATGCCTGTAGTTCCAGCTACTTGGAGGCTGAGGCAGGAAGATTGCTTGAGCCTAGGAGGTAGAAGCTGCGGTGGGCTGTGATGACAGAGCAAGATCCTGTCTCAAAAAAAGAAAGACGGACGGGCACGGTGGCTCACGCCTATAATGGGCCGAGGCGGGTGGATCACTTGAGGTCAGGAGTTTGAGACCAGCCCTAGCTAGCATGGTGAAACCCCATTTCTCCTAAAAATACAAAAAATTAGCCGGGCATGGCGCTGTGCACCTGTAATCCCAGCTACTCAGGAGGCTGAGGCAGGAGAATTGCTTGAACCCAGGAGACAGAGGTTGCAGTGAGCCGAGATTGAGCCACCACACTCCAGCCTGGGTGACAGAGTGAGACTCCGTCTCAGAGAAAAAAAGAGAAGGACAGCTGAGTGCGATGGCTTGTGCCCGTAATCCCAGCACTTGGGGAGGCCAAGGCCAAAAGTTCACAACCAACCTGACCAACATAGCAGGATCCTCATCTGCAATTTTTAAAATGATTATTTTTTTAAAGAAAATAAGAAACAGGAAGTGTAAAGTTAGTTGAAGATATTGCATTATGCTGACTTTTGATGTGAAATTAATAATTCTAAAGAAGATGACTTGAAACATGATTATGACAGAAATTTGCAGTAATGTGTTCTGTCTAGAGAGGGGTAAATTAAAAGAATGAGAAGACAGCCTGGGCAATATAGTAAGACCTTGTCTCTACAAAAAAATTAAAACTTAGCTGATGTGTGCATACCTTTAGTCCCAGCTACTCAGAGGCTAAGATCAGAGAATTGTATGAGCCCAGGGAGGTTGAGACGTAAACCATGATCCCACCACTGTATTTTAGCCTAGGTCACAGAGCAAGACCCTGGTCTCAAAAAAAAGAAAAAGAAAATGAGAAGAACATTTAACTCTTATTTTCACTTCCACCAAATTCTGTTCAGGACTTCTTTCATCTGCTTCCTACATAGCCTTTTATGGTACTTACCTCATTCTGCTTTATATTTTGCTTATGTTTAAACACAATTAGATTTTGAGTTCTTTAAAGGCAAAGACTTTATTCTTTTTTTAAATTATTCAAGGATTTATTAAGTCATACATGCAAAACATACTGCTAATTGCATTACCAAAAGATTAATATAAAAACACTCCACAGTTCTGCAACTGTCCATTTAAAAACTTTTGTTCATGGTCAGGCGTGGTGGCTCACGCTTGTAATCTCAGCACTTTGGGAGGCAGAGGCTGACGGATCACTTGAGGTCAGGAGTTTGAGAGCAGCCTGGCCAACATGGTGAAACCCTGTCTCTACTAAAAATACAATAAATTATCCAGGTGTGGTGGCACACGCCTGTAATCCCAACCACTCGGGAGGCTGAGGTTGGAGAATCGCATGAGCCCGGGAAGCAGAGGTTGCCAAGATCACACCACTGCACTTCAACCTGGGTGAAAGAGAAAGACTCCGTATGAAAAAAAAAAAAAATTGTTCTACTGGTTGAAAGCTCCAGTTTTGTATTCTTTTTTTTTTTTTTTTTTTTTTGAGACGGAGTTTCACTCATGTTACCCAGGCTGGAGTGCAATGGCGCGATCTCGGCTCACCGCAACCTCCGCCTCCTGGGTTCAGGCAATTCTCCTGCCTCAGCCTCCTGAGTAGCTGGGATTACAGGCACGCACCACCATGCCCAGCTAATTTTTTGTATTTTTAGTAGAGACGGGGTTTCACCATGTTGACCAGGATGGTCTCGATCTCTTGACCTCGTGATCCACCCGCCTCGGCCTCCCAAAGTGCTGGGATTACAGGCTTGAGCCACCGCGCCCGGCCCTATTTTTATTTTTTGAGACAGTCTCGCTCTTATTGCCTAGGCTGGAGTACAGTGGTGTGATCTTGGCTTACCAAAACCTCCACCTCCTGGGTTCAAGCGATTCTTTTGCCTCAGCCTCCTGAGTAGCTAGAATTACAGGCATGTGCCACCTCTCCTGGCTAATTTTGTATTTTTAGTAGAGATGGGGTTTCTCTGTGTTGGTCAGGCTGGTCTCAGGTGGGCGGATCACCCGAGGTCAGGAGTTCAAGTCCAGCCTAGCCAATATGGTAAAACCCCATCTCTACTAAAAATACAAAAATTAGCCAGGCGTGGTGGTACGTGCCTGTAATCCCAGCTACCCGGGAGGGTGAGGCAGGAGAATCGCTGAAACCTGGGAGGTGGAGCCTGCAGTGAGCTGAGATTGCACCACCCCGCTCCCTAGGCAGCAGAGCGAGACTTCGTCTCAAAAACAACAAAACGGAAA